ATCAAAAAACTCTGAAAAATATTTAACTTCAAAATATATAATGTATTATATTCCTATAATAAATAAATGAATAATAATGATAAAATATAATATAAACTATAATTTTTTTGAAAAAAGTTTGATTTGTTAAAGACACTTCTCAAGCAATGAACCTCTTTCACCGGTGTCACCACCCTATCCCAATGATGTACCTCCTTGCATATGGTTTGTAGATGTGAGACTATGAAAGAATCGATCAACATAAAATTCATTATTTTGAATTAAAATAGGATATAGGTAGGTATTTATATATTGTAAATACAAATTATAAATTGGCATTATGAGTTATTTTGTGTGTTATAGACGTTATAGTTATAAATGTTATAATAGTTTACTATATTTTCAATAGGTCCCAATATTTGTTCAGGTTTTGTAGTGCAAGTTTCACAAAGATTTCTATACAAACTAGTTAAGTTACCCCGGGCATTAGTTAAAGCCGGGTTCCGCCATCTTCTTGGTTGGCAAGTAGTACTTATGGTATATCATATTTGTATATATATTATGGTAAATATTAAGAGGACGCCACAACCGCATGTGTTATCTCCGTTGTACAAATAATGCGTAGCATGGAAAATTTTACGCTCAGCAGATCACGTTTATCTCCGATAGTTTGAAATTTATAGTGAATTGGTCTATTATATAAAAATTAAAGGCAACATTATTATCTAGGACATCCCATTGGCTTTTTATTATATTTTATTTTTAAAGCGAGTGATGAGTATTTATAGATATACAAACAATTTACAATTTTAAAATATCCATAACTCTCTTTAAAATTAAAATATAGTAAAAAGCCCATGAGATGCCCTAGATAATAATCTTGTCTTTAATTTTTATAATAATCACTCTAAATTTTAAACAAATGGAGAGAGACATAATCTGCTGAGCGTAAAACTTGCTACGCTACGCACTTGCGTACAATTACATAAAATCCACTTTTTTTGGAGACAACACTTGCTGGTGTGGCGTCCTCTTCATTGATGTTGTATTGTATTTTATTATTTCTATAGACTTGCTGTTTGTAACAAAAAAAAATAAAATATTTTATATCGATCACCCAAAACCACCCAACTTTGGGAGGCTATATCTTGTAAACGAATTRACGAAAAATGAAAATTTAAACGTGAAAATTCATTGAAAAAATAGCCTTTTTAGTTTATCAAATTTTAAGTACAGGTTGTCATTTGAAAATCAAAAGTTGATAATGGTTAACCTGATAAATATAAGGGTGAAAATATTTAAAAAATATATAGTTCTAGAACAAGATGGTTCCAAAATTTTGAAAAAAAAAAATTCAATAGTTTTTGAAATAATGAGTGTTGTTTGATAAAAGAATCACCCTGTATATTGTGTTCGGTTATTTCCAGGATAATAGGTATTCATTTTATTCAATAGTAAACAATATTTTTATTGGAATATTATGAATATGAACATTAATAATACATAATATGTAATCTAATATATACAAATAAAAAAAAAATCACTATTATAATAACAACATTTTATATTATAACAGTATATTTTTACTGTATAATTAAAAATTATTAAAAATAAATATAAATAAATATATTTTCAGATTTAATAAAAACGATTTATTCGTYAATGTTTTCAGTTTTGAACGTCAATATTAGTTAGTACGCTTTTATATATTAATTAATGGCTAATATGCATAACCATATCTAAAGTATACCTATTATTATTACTATACATTAATATTTCAAAAAAAAAAAGAAAACTGGTCCTCACTGAGTGTGCAGGAGGCCCATGAAAAATATGCAAAGCAATTGGTAAACTGACCTTAAATACAAATTTTGTTTTATGCGTAACTTCAAGTTCATTCTGTACATTCTGTATGCATAAATATATATCATAAATGCATAATGTTAAAATGTATTAACACATATATATATATACCATATAAATATACGTATATACTATAAGTATACAAATAAACATATTATTACGTATAATGTATTACTGTATTAGGTACTATGCAGGATACTACGTACATAGTATATATTTGAAAATTTCCGATAAGTGCCTTAGCTTCCTTAAGTAGTTACGTATTAGCTATAAGTAATTCTCGTGTGGCATGTGACACGGAATTAACTCGTTTTAAACTCKGTAGCGCAACAAATCTAATGAAATGAGCTAAATTGGTGGAAAATGATTATAAAATACTTATATTACCATTTAGTTTCAATCATCTCGTCTCAAGTTAGTTTTGTATGTTGTGAATTGTGATATTATCATATTAATTTTGAAAGCAATAATATTTAATAGAAATTTAAAAAAAAAAWTTTACGCTCGTTTACAGAAAATCTGCTTAGCCAATAAAAAAACTATCTCTCTTCTTAAAAACATAGAAACCTTTTAGATGAAATGATTGAAATATTTTTGATTACTTTGCCGCGTGGTGGTAAACTATCCCGTGTCCAGACTTGG